TGAGGTAGTATTCAAACCCTGGTCTCCAGAGTCATAGTCCAATGCTCAAATCACCACACTACGCTGGCTCCTATATTTATATAGCCTTCTTTTAGTTTCTGCACTTGCTATGATTCTTCAGAACTACATTATTCATTGTACTCTAATTGATATAGAGGTGTGTGTTTTTTTCCCTATGCAAACGAACAATTCAACAGTGTTACAATGGGGTGCTCTATGTGGCAATAATCCATCCTTTCTCTGTGTTATGTAAATGGAAATTTGAGATCTCACGTATCTCAGATGCACACATGGCCATGGAAAAACTGCCCTATAAGTACAAGAGTAACCACATTATTTGTTGATGTGGGAAATGGCTAATGAGCACCTGCCTAGCCCATTTGCCATCATACATCCTGATGAAATTGATCCGATTATGTCAGGCAACTTTGTTTCCAGAAAGGAGGAGAGTCTGGTTGCTTGGATGGTGCAACAGTGCTGATTAACCTTCGTAATATTATTACCGCATCTTGACAAGGTTATTACTTCCTGTGGTGGAAGGCATGGACCAATCCCTTGTTTTACTTCTGCACATGTTGCACAGATGTTGCAGAAAGAGCACATAAAGTAGGATCTTTGTTCAAAAAGTCCACTGTGGGAGCATGAAACTGATTAGAGACCTAAGACATTTACTAGTTTCAGAATTAATAATGCGCACATTTATGACCTCATTTGACAACCAGGTGAATTGCAATACAGTGGCTTAATGCACAAGCTACATGTCTGGTAAAGCATGGAATATGGAACACATCTGTTGAAATAATATTAATTTTCCTATGAGTTATTTTCAAGCCGTTTGACCCACTTAACTTTTCTTTTGAAAGTGATTAAGATTTTAACAATATCCAGATTTCTTGTATAAGTTGGGACTTTAAAAAAAAAACCTAAATCTTTCTACTCCCCCGCTGATAGTTCTAAAAGTCAATTCAGCAATGGACAAAGAAAAAGAAATTTAGCCATTTTCTCAGCAAACAGGACAAACTAATGATGGTGCTAGCTTTAAGGCAGTGATCATAAAATGTTTTTCACCAACAACAAAAGGGCAGGGGCTCCACTACAAATGCAAAGGATATATAAGACCATCGCATAAACGAGACAAGGAAACAATAAATATGTTTATGACAATCAAATATTTATAACAATTATATATTTATATCATGTATTTAGATAGACTTGGATATTTTCCTGACATATATCTATATCTATATCTATATCTATATCTATATCTATATCTATGTATATATATATGTATATGTATATATATATGTATATGTATATGTATTGTTATATTTGGCTGCATTTGTTTTATACTGTAGGTATGACATTCTATTTAACTGTATATATTTCCATTTCTCTATTTTTCATAAATGTTATAAAGATTATATTGATTGATTGTTTGTCCTTTTTATGTAATGGCCTTTGTATAAAGTGTTTATAACACAGACTCTATGGCAATAATCTCAAGAACAACTATTGCTTCAGACTAGCCTCACTGAACTAGCGGGAGGCTAAAATGCAGCCCTTGGGTTGCATACAGCTCATCCAAGGATGTTTTTGTGGCCTTTGAGTGCTGCAAACTCTGTGAAATACCCTTTTTCTGTGTTGTTGTAGTTCCTGTTGTGTGCCTTCAAGTCATTTCCAACTATCACAAAATTTTGTTGGCAAGATTTGTTCAGAGGAGGTTTGCCCTTCCATTTCTCTGAGGCTGAGAGAGAATATGACTTGCTCAAGGTCACCTAGTAGATTTCCATGGCTGAGCAGGGATTTGAACCTTGGTCTCCAGAGTCCTAGTCCAACACTTAAACCACTACATCATACTGGCTCTCAGAGAGGTGCTTTGGTCAATTCATATATGCTTATGGACGTCTGTGTGTGTGTTGTATGCCTTCAAATCATTTCTGACTTATGGCGACCCTAAGGTGTTTTCCTGGCAAGATTTGTTCAGAGGGGGGTTGTCATCACCTTCCCCTAAGGCTGAGAAAGTGTGACTTGCCCAAGGTCACCCAGTAGGTGTCATGGCTGAGCAGGAATCAAATCCTGGGTCTCCAGAATCATAGTCCAGTGTTCAAAGCACTATACCATGCTGGCTCTCAATTCATCAGAAAGGGTTTATTACATGGGTGCATGATGGAAAGCAGTGGATTAGAAAGAACATTGACGTCCGCATGCCAGTACTGAACTACAGACAGCTAAATGCTCCAGAGCTACAGTGCAATCTCCAACAGAATTTGGAAACACAAAGGAATTTAGTACAGGAGCAGGATGGTTGGTATAGAGACAGAGTTATTTGCGTACTAGAATTTGTACCCAAAATATCTGCTGGAATGGGTAAGCTTTCAAGCCAACCAAGGCTGAAGCATCTGAGGAGACACCTGCCAAAGACAACTAATTGTTTTTGTGGGTTTTTCGGGCTGTGTGGCCATGTTCTAGAAGAGTTTCTTTTTGACTTTTCGCCAGCATCTGTGGCTAGCATCTTCAGAGAAAACTGAAATGGAAGAGCATGGGTCTATATATACTGTGAGACCCTGGGTAGGGAGGAGTGGTTCCCAGGTGAACTGTGCGTTGTTCCACAAAAACTATAGATGCCGGCCATGAAAGCCTACGACTTCACAACTAATTGTGCTAGGATCCACGATAGTGCCAGGGTTCGGCCAGGACTTTTTGCTGTTTGAGGCAAAGAACAAGATGGCACTGACTCTTTTTCCATGTACAGAAGAAGTTGAATATTATTTCAGTGATGGTGATAGATGGAATTCACCTGGGTGCTTAGGAGACCCAGGACAAGTTCTGTAGCATAAACAGCTCTGTCTTCCAGTAGAGGGAAATCGAAGTGGTGTTCAGGGTAAACAGCTACTGGGTGTGGTGATGGTGACCCCCCACCCCACCCCGACAACTGCCTCTGGAGCCTGTTGTCCTACTTGCCTAATGGTAGGACTAGCTGTGAATCCCAGAGAGCAATGTTATTCCTTCTTCCTCCACTTAACAACCTTGAAAGCTTAACTATGAGGCCCATTGGTCATAAGCCCTGGAGGTGCTTGGTTCATACTCCAGCTGCCTCAAATGCCACTACTTTGTTCCCCAAAAAATATGGTTCCTCCCTCAACCAGCTGGACTGTCTATATATAGAGGTAATGAGAAGTTCTAGGATGTCTCCATCAAGGACCCTGGCTTTGAAAGGAACATTTGGAGAGTGATATGAAGATGGGCACTTCAAAGCTCTCAAAGCTGATGAAAGGATGTTTACAAGGCAAAGCCTATTGAGGCTGAGGACACCTGCTAGACCAAAAAAAATACTCATTTTCATTATAAGCCAAAATAGAGAGCCTAGTGAGACTTCCCTGCTGTGCTTATAAAGCCACACAATGTTCCTGTTTCTGATCATTCGTGTAAAATTAAGTTCATGTTGGCTCATGTTCTCTCGTAAGAAATCCTATAACATGCTTGCCTCTGGACAAGGGCGATAATGTTGTTAAGCCTTTTTATGGTCAGGTGTTTGAGCTGGAGTAGATAAATGTACATTTACAACTTCACAGTCTCTACCTAGCACAGAATGCCATAAAATTTATAAGAGATAGTTATGTTAGTCTGTTTCAATTTAAAAGAAAGGGAAGAAGGGGTTTTTTGTGGCTTCTTATACTGTTTGTTCACATTATGTGCCATGGAAATAAACTCACCTGGCCTGTAAAAGCAACATCCTAGTTGTGATATTTCAAAGCACATGTTAGTTTTGTGAAGACTTCATGTACATATAATAATCACACACTGTTGCCAGCTCTAACATTAAAGTGAGGCAATTGCCTTCAACAGAAAATGCTAAGGAGCAAGAGTAGCTTTTCATTTCAGATTGCACAGCTTTCCCCTCTGCCATATAGTTTATCCTAGCATCCCTCAACAAGCCTGATGCTTCCAACTGGGCAACTGGAAAAGGAGCAAGGACCGTTTCCCCATCACAACACATGTATGACTGCACTAATGTACCAGCCTTGACAGCTTTTTGTCAATATTTGGCTGATTTAGGGGGACAGGGGATTGTCACTGTGGGGCAAAACTGCTACAGTTTTTAGCTGTTTGGAGTAAAAAAAAAACTGCAGAAAAAATATATATATTATTCATCGGAGTGGGTTGGGGGGATACAAATTTTGGTGTGGTAGGACTGTTCCTTTGCCAGTAAAATTCAAAGGCTAGTCCAGATGGTTCAGAGGTAAGTGCACTGCACAGAGAATTACAAACTTTGCTTGCTTGCATTCTTCAGGAACCTGCCATTGAGGTGTGTAATGAAAATCTCTGTATGCAGAATTACACACTTGTCATGATGAATGCTGAATGGCAATGCTGTGAAATATACACAACTGAAGGAATACAACTGCCAAATTTGGCACAGGGGGATTGGTATGCATTGTTCAAGAAGGCACATTAGCATGTGCAAGTGCCCCATATGCACAACTCCACTTCTACAATTTGACGTGAACATGTGAATTGGGCAAAAATGTCTAACTGCTCTCAGGAGGAATGTATGCTTGCATAAAACACCAACAAGATTCCAACCAATACCCCTCAAAAGCTGAGGTACTGATTCACATGACTGCAGCTGAAATGTCACAGACCCACACTAACCCAGTTGGCCATGTTATTAGGCACAGTGAGAAGACAGTTGCAGGCCGAAGGCCTGTTGGCATATTACACTGATATAATCACTTCACAACCCTGGAAAATGCATAACCGTTACTGTTGTGCATGAACAGGATTCTGTCCACATGCAGCAGATTTGGGGCATCATAATGGAGGAGCAAATTGTTATTTATTTAATTTGTTAGCTTTATATTTGTACTGTCAGAAATGTCAAGGGGAAACATTTTTCTGCCTCATGGGCCAAAATAACATAGGATTTCAGTTTTATCACACTAAATGTGGGGGACTCCAAATGTAAATGTTCCCAATCTATGCCAATGCCACCTAGATACAGAAAATGTGAAAATGTCTGTAGGCTTGCCAGACTGAAAACTGGAGAGAGATCCTGTATGTGTAATGGTTCTTTAGAGAAAAGAATTTTAGCAGGTGATGCTTCTAACAACCAGGTAACAAACAACATGTAATTAAATTTCCTGTTCTATAAAACCATTAAAGGCACAAGAGCCATCTCCAGTTTCCTTTCTGGCAACTTTAATTGTGTCTGCCTCACATACAAAAATAACAAACCAATGCATGTAGAATATGGCAGGATGGGGATTATTTGCTGCCCTACATGAAGCAGGAAAATTATGCAGGATGGTCTTGTCTCTTATGAACTTTAAGCAATATCCGACAATGGAGGCCTCTGTGTTATCCCTCTCACTCTTTTTCTTCCTTTTCCAAAAGAGGCCTCTCCACCCAACTTTTCAGCCTTGGCCAGTGTGGTGGGTGAATGGGAATTAATGCAGCAGAACATCAGATTTGTGATGTTTTCTTTTCATGTTGCTTTTGACACGTTAGAACTCAAACGACCTTTGGGCTTCCTACTGTCTTAACACAAACCACAGACCCCACAGTGAGGGGCACTCTCATGTTATCACCTTATCATTTGTCACCAGCAGATTAGGCTTCCCAGTTGACCTTGGCTTATCGAGGTCTCTGGCACACTTGGTCCCAGCTAAGCCCCAAGACTGTTTATATAGTAATTATAGCTCTGCCGGTTAATTGAGAATGCCTCTCCTCCCAGCCAATCAATCAAAAAGGAGATTTGTTTGTCTTTCCCCCCATCCCCCTCCTTCTTGGGGAATGGGAAGCTTTACATTTGCCCTTTGGAGGGAGGTGGGAGAAGAAAGGAAATCATCAGACATGTTGAATTTACAGGAGAGACTGACACCCTGCATCCTTCCACACCATCCTCAAAAGCTGCATTAATTCTTCCTTCGGCTATATGGTTTCCATGATTACCATTATCATTGCCCAGCTTTCTCACAGATGCTCAAAGGTTTACATTTACAATACATTATTCATTTATTTTGTTAGCACTCACCTCTTGCCTTCATTTCTGAGTGTATACTTACAAGTCAGAAATGACTTCAAGGCAAACAACAGACATAGCACACAACACTTAGCACTTGCACATTGGTGGAGCCACACTGCTGAGATACCCCACAGGGTTCCCACTTCAGTACTCCATTTAAATAGTAGCACCCCAAGTTCCTTATAAAGCTCAAGTACAGCTCTCTGTGTTGTTCTTCATCTCTCCCAAACTGCAGTTTACCTTTGTTTCCTCTATAGACATCTAGCTAATAAAATCCTTAGGTAGGCATTCCAAAAACTTCTAACAATTAATGCCCACAGAAACACATCCTTGAGATATTAAATTTCATGTTCTTTCCCCTCTAATGGTCTCATACAAGTCACAAGAGCCCTACACACCAAAATCTGAAGGAAAAGCAATATCAATATGATCAAATCATCAATTTACTTCCAGGGAGAGCTTGGAGATAATTTGCTCAGCTGTAATTTGTTGCCCCTAACTTGTTAACATTGTCAGCAACAATTTCTGAATTTTTTTATTTTAATTTTTAAGCACCAAAGGCATTAATTTTGAATAGTGATGAATAGTACTAATTGTTTAAACATTATTACAGGCTGTATTTGATCATTTTGAATTATTTCTTCAATTTAAAGATTTATTGATTTGACCAAGTAATTCATGAATTAGTGAACAATGTATTGTTTTAAGTCAATTGCTATGGAACCACGTCTCCCTTGGTTTAAGCCAGTATCTAATGAACCAATTCTCTTTGAAAAAATTGACAATAACTGGCTGACACCAGCACTAACTGTTCTAAATTTTGTCTCCTTAGTGTT